AATACACATTACAACAAAGACACATTGGGCTACAGCTTTTTGCACATCGCTGTATTCAGCTTGGTTCAAATGTGGGAATTAAGTATTGTTTTTTTTGGATAAGCAGATGCACTGACATTTTACAAATTATTCCAGAAGTTCCCAACAGCAATATCACAGTGGATTTTGTAAACTCAAATCTAAATTTAACTGGTTAAAAGGGTTTGCTAAAAAATAAATCTTTTTATTTAAACATTGATAGGTAGACCGAATAACACAGAAATGTTCTGTGCCAGCTAGTTTTGATCCTAATGTTTGGTGGGTGTGAACATCCTTTCTCAATTTCATTCTTAGGTTGACAGCATTGATGTGAGACGAGAATGCATCCTCAGAGGTTTGACCGTGTACCTGAATGAGGATCCACAAAAATTTGTTAAGGACTACAAGGTATGTTGACCAGCCATCAGACAACACATTCATCTCTCATCCTAACTTTTGTGGTTTATTTTGCTCAGGCCAAGAGAAAAATTACTGACCGCAACATAAAATGTTCTTTTAAGTAAACTGTACAATATTCCACATTTTGCAGTTGGTTCCAGTGTTCATGATTCCCATGTTCTTTTGTTGGACCGCATGAGTAAAACTTAATTGCACTCAACACACTCTTGGGTGCTCTCTAAAGGAATTCTTCTCATCTCCTTCCTGTACAACAGGGACCCCAAACTCCAGTCCTCAAGGCCACTGTCCTGCATACTTTTGAAGTTTTCCTGCTGCAACACACCTGACTCAAATTTTGTAATTGGCAGACTTGTGCAGAGCTTGTCAGATATCCATTTAATTTGAATATGGTGTGTCTCAGCAGGAAAACATCTAATACATGTGGGATAGTAGGCCTTGAGGACCAGGGTTGGAGATCACTGTTGTGCTGCATCTGTGTTGATTTTCTAGTCCAGGCTGCTGTCCAGGACCTCTACCTCCTAATAAAGTATCCTGATGTGCAGTGTGCAGGTTTCCACCCTGAAGTCATTAACCATCTCTTTTGTCTTGTTCACGTTCAGAACCATGATTCCTACATAACATTAAGATATCAAAGAATTGTTTCAGAAATCCTACTGATAAAGTCTGGTTTTATTTATTTATTTACTTATTTTTGTTTAATATTTTTAACCTTTTTAATTGTTCTCCCACAGAGCGATGATGAGTGCATTGAAAGAGACCTGGCAGAAACAGTCTTTGGCATCTATGTGATTCGACACAATGTTGCAGACCCTGATGATTACCCTGAGGATATTGGAATCGTTTTGGAGGGGGTAGAGGTACTGAGTGGTTTGAGAAATGTTCCATTCGCTATGGCAATGTTTCTCGGACTTGTGTATGCTCTGAACATTAGTTACNACCATCGAGCCCACCACCAGCTCCACCATCGAGCCCACCACCAGCTCCACCATCGAGCCCACCAACCAGCCCACCACCTGCTCCACCATCAAGCCCACCTCCAGCTCCACCATCAAGCCCACCTCCAGCTCCACCATCAAGCCCACCTCCAGCTCCACCATCGAGCCCACCAGAAGCTCCACCATCGAGCCCACCTCCAGCTCCACCATCGAGCCCACCAGCAGCTCCACCATCGAGCCCACCTCCAGCTCCACCATCGAGCCCACCAGCAGCTCCACCATCGAGCCCACCTCCAGCTCCACCAACCAGCCCACCAGCAGCTCCACCATCAAGCCCACCATCAAGCCCACCAACCAGCCCACCACCTGCTCCACCATCAAGCCCACCTCCAGCTCCACCATTGAGCCCACCTCCAGCTCCACCATCGAGCCCACCAGCAGCTCCACCATCGAGCCCACCTCCAGCTCCACCAACCAGCCCACCACCTGCTCCACCATCAAGCCCACCAACCAGCCCACCACCTGCTCCACCATCAAGCCCACCTCCAGCTCCACCATCGAGCCCACCAGCAGCTCCACCATCGAGCCCACCAACCAGCCCACCACCTGCTCCACCATCAAGCCCACCAACCAGCCCATCATCCAGTCATGCAGTAGGTGTTTGGAGCCTCATTTGTAGCTGAATAGAAATCACTTCACAGTGTTTATTGATTATTTAGCCTGATGTTTTATTTTAAAAGAAAGAAGCTATGATATCCACCCAATGCATCGCTATCGTTTCACTACATTCATGACAATGCATTTCTCCTCTCTCGTCTGTGACGGGTGGTACTCTCCCGCATGCTTCTCACACACATGCCCTCAGTTAGGCATCTGCTCAGCCCCGTTATCTACACTTCCTAAGCTCTTTCACCAGCTGCCATCGTCACTATTGGACCTCTTGGTCCGAGTGACCCTGAGGCCTGTACTACAAAGGAGGATTTGAGCTTATCGAGATAACCTCAAGATTAATGACAGATTAATGCAAACACCCAAATTGCGTTCGGTGTGTACGCACCAATAGCCTATATGTGGG